TTTTTTTTTATTAAGGTTGAAAAGGTTTATTGTAAGGTTTATTACATATATGTTGGATTTTTTTCGTTCGCTCAATTTGCATGTAATTTTTTTTTTACTTTTTTAGCAAATGGAAAGGTTTAAAATAGTTGAAAGAGAGACAAAAACAAAGGCTTATTCAAAAGAAGGTTTAGGAGCTGCTCAGAAATTAGATCCAGCACAAAAAGAAAGGGATGATATTAGAGAATGGCTGGTGTCATCGATAGATTCTTTGAATTATCAGGTAAGTCTTCGAAAGAAGAAGAAAGAAAGAAAGAAAAAGGAATAAGGAAAAAATTACATGATTAATGTTTTTTTTTTTTTTTGTTTTAGGTGGATCAGTTTGAATCAGAAATTGAATCTTTAGTAGCAGGGAAAAAGAAAAGGTTAGATAAAGAAAAACAAGATAGAATGGACGAGTTAAGGGGTAAACTGGAAAAGCATCGGTATCATATAAGAAAGTTAGAAACTCTTTTAAGAATGCTTCATAATATGTCAGTAGAAGTAAACAAGATTAAGGATATAAAAGATGATGTAGAATATTACATAGATTCATCGGAAGAGCCTGATTTCAAAGAAAATGAATTTATTTACGACGATATCATTGGGCTAGATGAAGTAGAATTGTCCGGAGCGGCACTTGCTGGATCCGCTGATAGCAATGATACTGGTGGTACGCCAACGTCCACGGTTTCAGATCCTTCACCTGCCCCGTCACCCCCTGCTCCGCCTCCGTTGCTCCATAACCATTCCAGTGACAGTTCCAACGATGATAAAAAGAAAAAGGACGAAGTTACACCTGCCAAGGTAAGTTTTTTACTATTATTAATATTATGATTATTGTTACAAATGACAATTGTACCTTTTGAATTTGAATAATTATAATATATAAAATTATCGTTTTTAGGTTTTAAAACCTACAGCTTTAAGAGCGGTTATTAATAACTCGGTGACAACTTTAGGAAAACCAGTATCAAGTTCAACGCCTACAAAGTTTTCCGCAACACCAAACAATAGTAGTCCGTCTTCAGGTTTAAATCACATTTCAACAGGGAATTTTGCTGCTGTTGCTGCCGCAAACAATAACAACAACAACAACAACAACAATAATAACAATAATAATAATAATAATAATAATAACAATAGTAATAGTAATGTGAAATCTACATGTACGTCGATTTTTATATTTCTTTTTTTTTTTTTTCTTTTTTCTTTTTTGGCGGTTTAAATTAAATAAATTTTTTTTTTTTGTTATTATTTATTAGCACACAGCACGGAAAATGGAACCCTACCGTCTATGAATATGCCACCGTCATTATTACAAATGTCAATGCAACATCCTTCTTTGCCGTCTGCAGCGCACGCTCCGTCAAATACTTCTCAACAAGCTACTACTACTACTAATTTAGTAAACAATACAACAGATCATCATAACAATACTACCACCAATTCTTCGCCGGCTAGCTCTGTTTCGAGCAGAACAAGTCCACTTCCTCCAGCTCCGAGCCCTCAGCCTTCCATACCTCAAGTAACGCAACTTAACGGACCTTTGCCCAATAAAGTAAAAATTCAAGTTTTTTTTACACACATTTTTATTTTCGATTGAAAAGATTAAATTAAAAAAATTTTTTTTTTTTTTCTTAGTTGGTTGCTGAAGGTATGTCTTCGTTAAAATTAATGGCCCAACAAGCAGTAGAGAAATCAGGTATTGAATTGCCTCAGGAAACTTCGGATGCACACATACCGCCCTTGCTTGGAGTTGCACCTCTCGGTCCGGCTCCCCTTTTAAAAGAACATCAATTTCAATTTCAAATGTTAGAAGCCGGATTTTACCATATGCCTCTTCCGTCTGATACAGAAAGAACGAGGCAATATCTTCCTCGCAATCCCATTCAGACACCTAGTTATTACAGTCAAGTACGTAAATGTTAAAATATTTTATACCCTTAGCAGACGACATTTCCATTAACCATATTATTGTTCATTTACAGACTCCACTTCCTCATTCGGATACCGTGGAATTCTTCCAAAGGTTGTCGACGGAAACTCTCTTTTTTATATTTTACTATATGGAAGGTACAAAAGCGCAATACCTTTCTGCAAAAGCGCTGAAAAAGCAGAGTTGGAGGTTTCATACAAAATACATGATGTGGTTTCAAAGACACGAAGAACCGAAAATAATTAATGAAGAATACGAGCAGGTACTACTTTTATCATCATCATCATCATCACGAGTAGAAAAAAATTTTTTTTTTTTTCCCCCTAAATTTACTAAGATTTTTTTTTTTTTTACGATTTTCACAGGGCACTTATATTTACTTCGACTACGAAAAATGGGGCCAGAAAAAAAAGGAAGGCTTCACTTTCGAATACAAATACTTGGAAGATAGGGACCTGAACTGATCCTTAAGAACGTCTCTTGCGTTTCCTAACATGCGAAAGCACCCTTAAAAAAAAAAAAAAAAAAAAAAAAAAAAAGTGATATTATATATATATATAGACAATTTTTTTTTTTTTTCTATATTCTTTTAATTGGAGAGGCGCTCTCCCTCAAGAAAATAAAAAAAAAAAAAAAAAAAGTATATAAGGCCATGTGTGATGGATGATGATGATGATGTGGCAGCGTGGAAAGGTTGTCCTTTGTCTAACGTCAGTCAGTCAGTCAGTCAGCTCAACTCAACGAATCCCAAGAAAGAATGAATAAAAAATAAATAAAAAAAATAAATAAATAAATAAATAAAAATTGTTTTCAATTTTTTTTTTTTTTTTTTTCTGTTTTGTTTTTTTTTTTTTTTATATAGTGCCGTTTGTGAAGTTAAAATAAGAGAGAGAGAAAAAAGAAAAGAAAAGAAAAAGAAAAAAGTGTTTTAATTTTTAAAAGATAGACCAGTGAAAACATGTATAATAATAATAATAATATTTGAACTGTCAAAACAAAAAAAAAAAATTTTTAATTTTTAAAAATTTAGGTAATTTTTTTTTTATGTGTAACTATAGTATATATACGTGGCAATAGAAATTGATTCCATATATTTTCGTCTTTCGGTGGGGTCAATATTTTTTCAACACAAAAAAGCAAAAACAAAAAATTTAAATAATTCGAACAAATTAAATTGCATATTAAAAGGGGTTGAAAAAGAAAAATAATAATAATAATAATAATAATCTGAATTTGAACAACAACAACAAATTTAATAATTTTTTGTTGTGGTTTATTATTATTATTCGAGAAAATAAAGTGCTTGCTATATATTTTTTTTTTCTGAAGAACAGTATTTCTAAACATGTTAATGAAAGAAAATGAAAGAAAAGAAAAGAAAAAAAAGAAAAAGAAGAAAACAAAACAAAACAAAAAAAAATAACGACTCGTAGACTGACAAAGTAAAAAAAAAAAAAAAAAAAAAAAAAATCGATAGCGTTCCTCCTCAAACAAAACAAACAATTATTTAAAATTCTGTAATTTGATTCAATACAATTCAGATATCGTGAAAGCCTTATTATTATTATTATTATTATTATTATTATTATTATTATTATTATTATTATTATTAATACGTTTTAAATTATTATTAGTTAAATATTAAAAAAACTTACCGATGAATAATATCGATCACACGTGGCAAATTTAAATTTAAATTAATTGGTACAACGATGTGTAATAATAATAGTAATAATTTTATATTAATAAAATTATTATATAATATAATATAAAAAAAAATTGTATATATGTGTATTTGATTATTGCATTTATATATATAAATATATATATACATATTTTTTTTTTATAGTATATGAAAATTTGACCATTATTAAAAATAGCAGTCAAAAAAGAAAAAAATAATAATCATAATTTTTATAAAATAAATAATATAAATAATAAGTAGTAGTATTATTATTTTTCAAATTTGAATGATTTTTTTTTTTTTTAATTAAATGAAATAATTGATTGGGGTGGGGTGGGGGGGGAAAATATTAAATAGTATTAATAAGTATTTATAATAATATTTAAATAATAATAATTTTTGTAATCGGTCGGTATTTTTATAAAATGTTTTTAAACATTGGATTTGCCACGTGTGAAACAAACAAACAAACAAACAATGGGAATTTTTTTTTTCTTTTTAAATTTATACGGTAAAACAAACAAACAAACAAACAAAAAAAAAAAAAACTTACCTAAATTGCATCATCACCACGATATTGTTTTTTCTTTTTTCTAATTTATTTTAATTTATTTTAAATTTTTTTTTTTTTTTTGTTTTCAGGTCCTGCCGCTTTTTTGCATTTATACCTTTTTTTGTTTTTTTTTTCTTAACATTTCCCTTTTGATTTTAACGGGTTAGACGAAGCGCCAAAAACAACAAAAACTGAAAAAAAAAAAAAATTATTATTAAATTGCATTTTATTACATTTATCGTACCTGATGCCTTTTTTTTTTTTTTTAAATTTAATTAAATTACAATAAAAATAATGTATTAATAAAAAAATTTGCATCATTTTAACAAAAAAAATAATTTAAAATTAATTAACAATAATAATAATAATTTTGCATTATAATTTTTTTTTTTATTATGATCTCAAAATTTTATTTTAACATTTTAAAAAAAAAAAAAAAATAAATACATGTATTATGTAAATTTTTTTTTTTTCAAAAATTGTTGTTAAATGTATTGTTAAAATAAAATTTAAATAGAAAATAAAACAACAGCAACAGCAACAAAGGTACATAAGAGTGCAATAAATAGGGAGAAAAAGGAAAAGTTTTCATAAGAACTCCATGTTACCTTTTTTTTTTTAAATATTTGTAATAATAATTATAATAATAATAATAATAGTTTAATCTAGTCCGGCCTGTTACTTGTTAAAAGAGGAAAAAAAAAAAAAATTTATATAATTAAAAAATAATTTTTTTTTTGTTTACTTTTTGCCACGTGATCATGAACACAAAAAGTATTAAAATAATTCATTATTATTTTCTTTTTTTATTTTTTCTAAAAGTTTTCTTTACATTTTTTTTTTTTAAATCGTACATGTTTTGTTTTTTGTTTGCAACCCCTAACTTTCACCCCCCCCACTCTATCTTCTCTCCGAAAAAAAAAACACTTTTTTAATAATAAAAATGTTTGTCATGTTATTGTTGTGGTCTGTCTATCACATTGTTGGCAATATCAACAATAATAATAATAAAAACTTTTTTTTTTTTTTTCCTCGTGTCAATTGTAATAATAATAATAATAATATATGTAAACATATTTTTTTTTTCTATGAACAACAAATGCGGCTTGTGTAAAAAGTTAAAAAAAAAAAAAAAGAAAAACAAATTTCAAACATAAATTTTTTTTTTTTTTTTTTAGCCGAAGACAAAAAAATTATTGTTAAAACTTTTTTTTTTTGGTTTTGTTTTTTTGTTTAAAAACAAATAGTGATAAGTGATTGATTATTGATTGATTTATTAATGATTGATTGTATTTTTGAACTGATTTTGACAAAGGATAGTCCACCACTATAATAATAATAAAAAATAAAATGAATTTTGTCAAAAAAATAAAAATAAAAAAAATTAAAAATTATTATGATTTATTATTATTATTATCGATTTTTTTCCTTCTCTTTTTTTTTAACATTAATTAAATGATTCGAATTTAAACGAGAATAGGATGATGATGATGATGATGATGGTGGTGAGGTGACGATTAACGAAAAAAAAAATAAATTTTTTACTGCATGGGCAAAAGTATGATAATCTTCATCGTTTTTAATTATATTCGATGGCCGCCATATTGAAAATTTATTAAATTATTTAAATATATAATCAATTGTTGTGAAAGCATAAATGTTAGCATACGTGTGTGTGTGTGTGTGTGCGTGCGTGTACGTGTCCTGCTACTTTTTACGTGACAAAGTTTTATTTAAAATAAAAATTACGTACTCATCATCATTTACTCTGGGAAATTTAAAAAAACCGTTAAAAAAATTTGAATCTCTAAATAACGAAAAAAATTTTTTTTATATATTTAATGAAATGAGCGCTAAAATTATACAACACCCACATGAAAATAAAAATTAATTAATTAAAATGAGAAAATATCCGGTCGAGTATAAAAAATGAATAAAATTTTATTATTTTTTTAAAAAAAATGAAGAAACCGATTCGAAAAAAACGATCGAATTCGATAAACAAACATGGCTGACGTGACAAAATCAGTTATTGAAATTATTGGCGCGTTTAGTAATAATAATAATAATAATAGGATTTTTTTTAATTTAAGCTTTTTTTAACGGTTTTAATTAATTTCACTTTTAAGGGAAATTTAAAAAAAAAGGAATGTTTTAACGGTGAAAAATTCCTTTTTTTAAAATTTTTCAACCTTAGCTATTGTAATAAACGGTTTTGGGAAGTTAAATAATAAAAAACGAAACGAATTTTTTTTTTTTTTTTTTAATTTTGACGAGATAACCGTTAAAAATTATTACTCGACGCCAACTTTTTTTTTATTTAAAACAGAACGGATCGGTATAAGATCGATTTACAGTTTACTGTGTAAAAAATTATTTAATTTAATATAGTAGCATAACAGGATAAAATTTCAATTTTTTAATAAGTGTTATTCTTATATTTCTATTTATTTAAAGATTTGAGAAGATCGTTCTGTTTTTATTTTCTCATTTTAACTTTAATTTATCATTTTATTTTTTTATTAATGCCTAGATTTCATTTTGAAAAGAATTTTTTCAAAGTTTGACACAATCAACGAAGAAAAATTTGAAATGGTAATCAAGTGGAATAAAAATTTTTTTACCTTTATATTATTGCCTTGAATTTTTCTACTTATTAAGTTTAATTACATGCTCTTGTTAAAAATGTTTCAAAATAAAACATTTTCAATCACCATTTGATTATTTTTATAATAAATAATTAATTTTTTTTCATTTTTGAAAAAATGTTCAACTGATCGTCAAACGAATTCTTTTTCACAAATGAACTCTAGCGACACCTATGAACACAAATGTGAACTATATTTTTCATCTTAAATAATTAAATTTTAATTATAAATTCATTTTAATAAATTATTTAATTAAATTTAAAATCAAAAATTAATTTATTTATTATTTAAAATCATTTAAAATCGTCTCGGTTGTCGTTTTCATTTTAAAATCACGTGTTAAAAATAATAAATGAGTTACTTTTATTGACACTAGATGTCAGGACTATCGATTTAGTTCGAGAAAACGCGCAAAATAACGGTCAACAAGTTTTTAAGAAAATGGTGTATTTAATATTTAATTTTTTTTTTTGTGCAAATTCAGTGAAAAATCCAATTTAAAATAGTTTTTGACAAGTAATTCAATTCGATAAATAATTTTTGAACGAAAGTAAGAAAGAAAATCATTTAGAAACGAATTTATAATATATTTTTTGGAGTTATTTCATCGAGGAGGGGTAAGTGAGGATTTTTAACGGTTTTTTCTTTATTCATTAAAACTTATTTTTAAAAAAAAAGTAAATTTATTCAGTAAATTTATACTATTTATTATAAAAGTCTTACTTTTATAGTAGTTTACAAAGTTCATTAAAATTTTTAATTATTTCTTTGGTTACTACATTATAAAAATTATTATTATTATTATTCAATAAGAATTTTTCATTTTTTTTTTTCAAACTAAAAAATGGCAAATAATAATAAAAAAATATATAAATTTACAATTATTATTAATTAGTCAATTTCAAAGTGACTATAATAGTGATGCTTTACGTATTTTTTAGTTCTTTCTTCAATTTTTTAACAAAAATCCCAAGGCACAATATTACATACACATATATATAGTCATTAATAATGATGATTTAACACGTTGTATAATTAAAGCCGGATTATTTTTATTAATTAATAATGATAATAATAATAATAAGAATGTTACAAAGAGATCATATTAAATTTTATATGGAATCATCATTCATTTTCAATTCTATAATAATAATAACCCATAATCAGGGTCACAATAATAATAATAAATTTTTTGTCATATTAAATTAAGAGAAAATAATAATAATAATTAATAACCGACTTTGGGGGGAGGGGGGCGGCAGTATTTGTGAGAAAACAAACTTTCTTAATTTTTCACACCTTTGAGAAAAACAAAAATTACACTTAAACTAAACAGTCAATTACTGTTATGATTATCTATAATGAAATTATATTTACAATTTTCTTTTCCCCCCCCCCCCATTTTTACGTGCCACAAACGTGTTATCACTTGTAAAATAAATTAAGTACAAAAGTACTTAAAATGAACTTTTTAATTATTATAAAAAGTATATAAAAAAAAAATAAATGCGTAACGCAGTCACAATTTGTTCGTTATGCTTATCATTATTATTTTTCTATTAAAAAAAAAAATAAATAAATTATGGCCAATAAGCCAATTAAAATAATAATAATAATAATAATAATTTTTTTCATTTTTTGTTCTTAACTTACGCATATTTAATTAATTAAGTAAAAGGAAAAGTCTTTTTTTTTCGTCACGTGATTTGTTTTTTTTATATAATCATGTGATATTTATGAACACATTTTCATTGAAATTAATGCCAATACTTGATGGGGAAGGGGGGGAATTTTGCAATAATAATTTTAAAGGCACTCAAATTTTCTCATTACGTTCGCGTTTAATAATAATAATAATAATAGTAAAAAGTACTACTGCTCGTATCTAATATTCTTATGAGTGAAATAATATTTAAAAAAAATTTCTTCTTATTCTTCTTGTTGTTTTTCATACATAGTATGTACGTGATAAAAGTACCGAAAGGTTGAAGGTAAAATAGCATTTCCGCTTTTTAAAATAAACCTTTCGATACGTTACTTAAAATCTAATCAAAATAAAATAATATAAAAAACAGACTATGCATTCAAATTTAAAGAACACTTATAAGGGGGAGAATACAAGGAAGGAGGACTATACAATCCTTGCTCAATGTTTGAATAAAAAAAAAAATTCAATTGGACTATATGAACGAAGAAAATCCGGGTAATGGAGCACGTGATCTCGCCATGTTGTTCATTATTATTTGACCACCGTTTAAACTCACGACAGCGCTTCCCTCAGGTTCCGAATCCGTATAACTCGAATAATTACGAACGGGTTTCTGTCTTTTCCACGATTGTCTCAGGGAATCGTTCACGTTCGCGTAGTGATTGACGAAAGAATGAGGATCCGAACGAACGCTTTCATTTTCCGTATCCGATTGAGAGTCGGTCGAACTCAATTCCGAGGGTTTTTCCGTCACGCTGCTGTCGTCGGGATTTTCATCGTATCCCTTGAGACTTTCCTCGTCGGAATGATACGCGACCGAGGCGGGAGACGGACGGGGAGGAGATTTTCCGACCATGACTTGCGGCGGTCCCAACATGGATTTCCTCGCTAACGTTCCACGCTTACCGAGAGTTCCAACGTTTCCGGTGTGTCTCGTCCTGTAAAGTTCCGCCGCCAACTCTTGTCTGTCGTCCATATCCATGGCCATGGATTCTTCTAGAGTTTTCTGAGCTTCTTCTGCAAAAACAATTGCACGTTAAAAAATTCTTATTCATCTTAAAAAAAAAAAATTGTTTACAAATTAGCCATGGAAAAAAAATTCAAAACAACATTAAAGACAAACTTCTAAGAAGAATAAACACGAATAAAACCTGGAACCGAGACGTACCGTACTCACGTTTATATTTGTACGTTTTACTTTTCACACAGAGAACAGCTATGACCATTATGATGATAATAATGGAAGAGGCTGCCAATGCAACCATGAACCAAGTCTGACGGTAAAAAGGTTTCTGTTGCAAATAACCGTATTCGAGGTACAATTTGGACGGAGTTAAAATCTAAAAAGAAAATTTTCAGTAAACAGGAGAATAATGATTATTGACAAAAGCAACATTTTGATATTTTCATTTATGTACTCACCACATCATCGGAATAAGCCGGATAACTGATTCCGTATTTATTATACGATATGACTCTGAAATTGTACGAAGTGGACGGTAGGAGATTTTGATAGGAGATGGTGAAATCTTGGAGTGGACCGTTGTTCGTTCGCGTGACCGTTTGCCACCGAGTGTCATCTGCTGGAATTTTTTAAAAATAAAATGAAAATTTAAAAAAAAAAATGCGACGTTGCCCAGAGGTGGTTGTTAATTGACGCACAAGCAACAAAAACGAATTTTGGTGTGAATTAAATCATGGCAATCCCATTACAATGTGTTAAAATTTCCCCTCCCCTCCCCCCTCTTCTCAGTCCAAACATTAAAAACAATTAAAGCAAAGCATTCGTTATTACGTAAAAGTTAGCTTAGTTAGTTAGGTAAGATAAAACTTACAGGATTGCCAATCTTCACTGACTGCAAAAAAAAAAGAAAAAAAAAAGAAAAAACAAAGAAAAAGAAAAAAATGCTTAAATGAAAATTCCAACACCGAGTGTTCAGCGAAAAATATGAGTAGGAAAAGTTTTTTAATTACCTTTACGTTTACTTTGAATGTAATACCCCAATATGGGGCCTTTACCGGAGGGACCGTTGGCCCAGTGTAAATCTATGCTCGAAACCGTTTTACCCAGTTGCAAATCTTTCGGTTTTACCGGAGAACCTTCTTGAGGTCCCGTCGTGACGTTTCCCACCACAGGTGGTCCGTAGTCTAAAGTTTGTGCACGGACTGTAAACGTGTACGTGACTTCTTCTTCTAACGTTTGCACCGATAAGTTGGTATCGGTAACTTTTTGCTTAACCTAAATAAAAAATCCAACAAATTAATTATTTAATCTCAGATGCTTTTATTAAAAAAAAATTTTTTTTTTTTTTGTTGGCAAACCTGTTTGCTAAATTTGTCGTTTTGCTCTGCCGTTTCGTACGTAACAATGTAACCAATGATTTCTCCGTTTCTTTTTTTGGGAGGATTCCACGACACTCTCAAACTACTCATGGTTATTTCGGAAAATGCCAAATCTATGGGAGGTCCAGGCAATCCTTGTAAAGTTTTAACCGTTACGGGAGCCGATCTGGGTCCGTCTCCAGCAGGATTGAAAGCGAGCATTTGTATTCTGTACTCGGTAAATTTGTCTAAAAATACGAGACTGTGCGAATTGTAAGTGGCTGGAACGACTTCGATCTCTTCTTCAGTTTTCCTGTCTATTTCTTGGGGAGAGTTAGTGACGAGATAAAAAATCTACATTAAATAAAAAAACAATAAATTAGGTTACAAAACATTCGTCAACTTAACTTGGGTAAAAAATAAAAATACCTTATAGCCGAGGAGGTCTCCATTTTGTTGACTTTGTATGGGCGGAATCCATTTTAAGCGAACTTCAGTCGACGAAACAGGTTCGCATTCTAAATTTCGCGGCTCGCCGGTGGGAACGGCTTCACCCACATAAACCGTTACAGGAGGACTCGGCGGTCCATCTCCTTGAGAATTGAAAGGCACGACGATAATTTCGTAGTTTTTGTCTCTCGTCAAATCAGTAAGAACTACTTTATCGTTCTGCAATCAAAACATTTTATACATAATTAAAATATATTTATGGAAACATCATCGAAGATAAAAATTCTCAGTTTGTTATACCTTTATACCGAGGATGTCCTCCTTTGGAGTAGCTTTTAAAGCAGTTAAAAAATCAGATTCGGGCTGGTATATGATTCTATAGCCACCAGTCTCTTCATCTCCACTCCAATACATTTCTTCGATCGGAGTCCAATGAACGCGGACACTGGTGGTTGTGATTGGGACGACTCTCAAATTACTGATACCTTTACTTGGAGCTAAAAATATTTTTCTTTTTAACGTAAAACTTTCGAGGAAGTATATTAGCATACGTTTGAAATTTATCTCACCTGCGGGCAACGTTCTTATTTCGGTTGATTCAGGACTCCATCCGCTCGGTCCAATATCGTTCGTTGCTTGAATTCTAAATCTGTACGTCGTGAACGGTTTTAAACCGACGACCGTGTAAGAAGTGAATTGTGGATCTACTCTTTCCGGCACTGTTAACCAAGGACCGTTACCTTCCATTTGCTGAACAGTATAGTACCTAATAATTGAATATAAATTGAAAACGTTTTAGCGATGAGCTTATCTTAAAGGATTCAAAATTGAAAATTTACCTTAACGGAGCAAATCCATCACGTCCAGGAGTCCAACTAAAGGTGAGAGTTTCACTTTGTACTTGACTTCTACTGATTTGCGGCATGGATGGCGGTTGTGGCGTTTCTCTATTATTAGTCGTAAAAACTAGAGCGTACGCGGTTTTACCCCAGCCCAACCTGGTTTGAGCAGCTACGGAAAACAAATAATACTGTTCCGCATCTAGACCGGTGGCCGTAAATGTTCTTCGTGACGGTGGGAATTCCCGTGAAAAATTATTATTCGTGAATGAATCCAAATGATAATTGATTCGGTACGCTAATATTTCGCCATTTCGATCGTAGGGCTCATCCCATATTATTCTAGCAGTTGTAAACGACACGTCGGGAAATGATACATTCGATGGCGGTCCAGGAACTGTACAAAAACAAAATAAAAACAATAAGAAAAATTTCACTTTCGACTTTTAAATGTACGATAAAAAATTACGTACCATCTTCAAAAGTTTGTACTCTAAGAGGAGGCGTACTCAGAGTGCCATCTCCTAATCTGGTATAAGCCATCACTTGAACGTGGTATACCACAAATTTTTTCAATTCCGTAAGAGTGGTTGTGAACGTTGAATTGCTTGGTATGTTTTTAAAAAGAAACGGCGCTCGAGCGTTTGCAGCATAGTAAACTTTAAATCCTTCGATGATACCATTTTGATGTTCTTTAGGAACTTCTCCCCACTTGACGACAATCGTAGTCGATGACGTAGCGTTAGCTTCAACATTCATAGGACCAAACGATGGCACAGATTCCCTCGTACGCTCGATAGCCGGCGGACTACGCTCGGAATTTCCAACGTCATTAAAAGAAGACATTGTTATTTCGTACAGAGCAAATTCTTCCAAATGCTCTAATATGTGAGAATTTGCCGTGTGATCTTCAATAATGACACTTCTCTGATTCGATGAATTAATTTCGGTGAAAGTAATATTGTAACCCCGAGGATTTCCGAACCATTCAATTTGTTGAAGTGGCTGAAAAAAAAAAAAAAAAAATTTATAATAATAGTTAAGAATGATACACCGACATAAATACGGAAATTATTTTTCAACTTTAGGGATTCTTACAATCCATCTAACTCTTAATTCCGTGGCACTCATCGCCCTCACTGTTACATTTCGCGGTGGATGAGCTGGAGGTGCTTGTATCGTTTGAAATTCTTTAGTGGGTTCCGACGGTTCAGACGTACCGACGACATTTTTCGCTATAAGTCTTAGTCTATAAGTTGTGAAAGGAACAAGATCAGTCACGGTGATGGTACTTGCGTCGGGATCGGAAACTTCGAAAACGTTGAACCAAGATAAATTTCTTGCTGTTTGACCTTCTACAATCCACTTGGTAATCGAAGAATTTCCATCGAAGCCTAAAAAAAAAAAAATTCTATGCTCAGCCTGTATTCTACATGAAATATTCGTTTTTTGTAAAACACGGTAAACTACCGGGAGTGAACTGAAGAACGACGGAAAACGCTTCAATATTGGTCACGGCTAAACGTGTCGGAGGAGTTGGAAGAACGGGTTCGACACCCGATTGTATTGTTGCGACTTTAGAAGGTCCCGATCCGACGGATGTCCAAGCAGAAACTTCAAACCTGTAATGCGTGGTGGCCTAAAAAAAAAAAATTTTAAATCATTCAGTCAATATTTACACAAAATTATCCTAATTAATTTTTTTTTTAAATGATGCTCACTTGTAAATGCTCCACTCGAACGCTGTGGGTTTCGGATGAAAAATTTAAAACCTTGGTTGTTTCAGGTTTATCTTTTATCATGTAAATTAAATTGAAACCACGGAGGATACCATTACTTTTACTTGGAGGAGACCAAACCACTCGTACGGAACGATCGCTTATATCATTAAATTGTAAACTTGACACTTCTTCGGGCACTAAACATAATAATTGAGATGCTTTTTGAAGAATTGCAAAAATCCAGGGGGAAAAAAAAAAATGTAAAATCAAAATAATCAATTACCATCCTCTTTAGTTTTTATGTACACGGGAGTGCTTTTTTTCCCATCCCCGGGATCCGTAAAACACAGGACCGTAATGTTGTATTCCGTAAATTTTTCTAAACCGTTCATTATAGCATTTTGTTCGGCCAAAGGATCAAACAGGCTCGGAGGTACCGTCATGGATTTATATTCAACCGAATCTTTCCAAGCTTGCAATTTGTATCCTTGATTGATTCCATTTATTTTTTGCGGATTAGGAGGTTTCCACCAAACTTTGATGGCAGTGGAATTAACGGCCACGACGCGAACTTGTGCAGGAGGTGCTTCGGGAATTCCTTCTCGTGTTTTTATTTTAATACCTGAAAAAAAACCTCTTTTTAATTATGTTCTCGAAATTCGAATGAAAGTTGATTCATGAAAGAAGAAATGTCGTACCGTCGGTAAATATTCCAACTCCTTTATTATTGTAAGCAGCTATTTGAACGACGTAATCTTTCCACGTAATCAAATCAGGTATAAGGTAATTTTTTTGAGCTTCATTTGTTATATTTCTCACGGTCCACGGGCTCTCGTTGTAACCGAATAATCGAAAACGAATGATGTAACCTAATATGTGACCGTTACGATGTTCTTCGAGGGGAGGCTGCCATTGTACGATAATTTCCGAAGAAGATCTCGCAGAGCCGACGAACCCCAAAGGAGGACCCGATGGCGCTGGAATTCAAATTCAAATTTAAACATAAAGTAAAATTAAAATAAAAAGTACAAAAAGTTAATTTAATACCTTCTTGCGGAAGAATTACGAGATTACTGGGTTCTGAGGGAGAACCTTCGCCAACGCTATTAACCGCAGACACGCGGAAATGGTAGGATGATGCCGCTTTTAAATTTGTCAGCAAAACCCATTTTTGGTCTGCAGACACGTTACTCAGTTCCGTGACCCAATTCATGAAAATTTCCGAACCCAAATCGGAAACTTCTCTCTTTTGGATAATGTATTTAACTATAGCACTGTTACCGTCGAAACCTGGAGTCCAGCTAACGTTTACCGCTCTTTGAGATACCGACGGAAACCGTTCGGCTTTTACATTGAGAGGAGCAAAGGGCAATTCAATAACGTTTAATTTTCCGTTTCTAGTCTCGTTACCGCCGGGCGACCGCAAAGAACAAGAATATTCTCCGACGTCGGAAGCACGAACAGCTTGAATTTCAAGTGTGCCATCTGGATGAGTGAATATTCGAGAACTGCTCCCTTCGACAATTTTTCTAGCAAAAACAATAATAATCATAATATTTTTAATAAAAAAAAAAAAAAAAAACGAAACCAAATTTTAACCGACGAGAAATTCATTAAAATAACTTACTCCTCGTTGTGATACCACGTTATGTTGTAAGGCACGGAAGGATCTCCGGATACTTTACATTGAAGAGTAGCCGTGTGACCAAGAAGTACTCTGGTATCCACGGGAGGTTGAATTATTTGTGTTCTGACTGTAAATTATTAAATTTTTAATGTCACCGCACAAAATAATTCGTAACGTTTATAAAAAACCTTAAAAAATTTACAACACATTTAAAAGCTCAGCAAGTGAATTATTTTTAATAGGCAACATATACATTTGTGTGAAAAATTCACTGCGCCAACGTATAAGAAGATATGGGGGTGGGTGGGGGGGGGGAATTTCGAAATATATACAAAAAAAACTTACCTAGAATTCCCAAATAAGCGGAAGCTTGAACTGAACCTGCTTCGTTCATACGAACGCACGTATATTTTCCAGCATCGAATTCTCTCGTATCGGCTATTAAAAGATCTCCAGATTCTAATATTTGTATTCGACCGGATGGTTCGACTTGATCTAAATCTATAATTTAATACCATTTCCAAGAAATCAAGGTTCCATTTCGATAACACATTGAACGGTTTTAAAAGTGAAAAAGCTCTCGATTAGAAAAAAAAAAAAAAAAGGAAGCACGCTTGCAAGCAAACTTTTTAAGTGCTAAATTACAATAAGCTTAATAAAGTGATTGACTTATTATTATTATTATTATTATTATTATTTCGACTCGATGGTAAATACAACGCTGGAAAATTTGTAACGCAACTCACCCCTGTAATACCACGTAACGTTCGGAGTTGGAGCTCCGACGGCACCGCAAGACATGATGGCATCTTTTCCATCCAATATTGTTACGTTTACCGGAGGATTTTCCATGACAGGAGCAGCAGCTTTAAAAAAAAAAAAACAATAAATGAAGCACGCAAAAAAAAAAACTTTTTTTTTTGTAAAATAAAGCGTTAAAAAGCGTTTGAAAACAAAAAACAAATTGATTGCAAATTGATTGATGGGAAACACGCTAAAAAATTTTAAATCTCTAACACTTGTGATAAAAACACGTGCTTAAAAACAAATATTATTATTATTATCATAAGTCTTACAATCGTGACTTCTTAGAAGTTTCATAACGTAAACGTTTTTACGAGGAACAATTGCATATTTTCTCAAACCACGCGTCTTTCTTAAAACATCTAATTTGAAAATAACAATAATAATAAAATATATAACTATACTTTGTCATCATGGAAAATTTGACAAAAAAAAAAATAAAATAATTAATAAAAACTCACTTTTTACTTTTAACCACGTGTACGCGGAATCTTCTCCAGCTTCGTTCGATGCGAGACATTGAAACATTCCCGTATCTTCCATTCTCAACTTTTTAATGAGCAAAGAACCATCTTCTTGAAGAGTGTACTGCTGACCACCGTTGGGGAGAATATTTAATTTTTCCGAATTTCTATACCACGTTATTTTAGGTACGGGTATGCCAACGGCTTCGCACGGTAGCGTGATGGGCGATCCGTATTCTCCGAGTGTTTCCGTTTTCATATTCGAAGCAAAAGAAGGTTTTTCTAATTTAGAAAAAAAAAATGGCAATTACACCGCGTTGTTCGTCGTGATTGATTATCTTACGCACAACTTCGTTTTTTTCTTACCGTAAACAACGACGTTTGCGGAGGAGGTCACGGTTGGAAAACCTCCAGTTCTCAGCCGAACTTGGCATGTGTATTTTCCAGTGTGGGTTAAATTGACCGATAGTAAAGATAAGGTTTTGTTCCAAGGATCGGTAAACGTGTACGATATACCTGAATTTTCGATTAAAATGTTATCCTTAAGCCAAAGCGTTTCCAATTCGTGAAGAGGCCTTTAAAAAAATAAAAAAAATAAAATAATCAATCCTCGGTTCGATGAAATAAATTTTTATATATAATATTTACCTCGCATTGGCTATGCATTGTAATTCTTCGGGTATGGCTTGACCCTTAACAATAGTCAAATTTTGTGGTTTTATTATTATTTCCGGTGCTATTTCTCTATTATCATCTCCGGTCACTAAAAGTCTTATAAATCCACTCATTTCTTCTTTTCCCAATTGCGTATTCGTGACGTGAGCTCTAAAAAAAATCCACACACGTTAAACACACAAGTAAATAAAAAAAAATTTTTTTTTTTAATAATTTAATCTCACCGATAAGATTTTTGATCTTCCGAAGATGTTGAAAGTATGACGAGACGATGATCCGTAGTCACGGCAAATTTTCGATCGTAAGGCAAACTCCCGGAATCCGATTTCCATATGACAGAAGGTTGTGGATGACTTTCGATTTGTGGAAGATTCAAAATGGCTGCCTCGCCAGACTCGACGCTCATTGTTCTCTCCGTTAAATCTTCAAAACCTCCCATATCTGACGAATAATAATAATTATTATTATTATGATTTTAAAATTTATTTAATTTAAAAGTTCGAAAGGCTGCCATTTGAAATCTTACAGGCAACGCTGACGTCACTTTTTTGACTGAATATTGAACCGACGTCATTTTTCGCTATGCACTGATAACTTCCCGCATCTTCCCTTTTGATCCCGTGTATCCGGTAAAATAATTCCGATGAAAAATCACTTATGGACAAACCATCTTTGAGCCATTTGTATTCCGGTTGTGGAAAACCTGAAAGGGGGGGGGGGAGGAAAAGATGAGATTTTTATCAAAAAAGTTTTATTAAAAGAATCGACATGATTCCTGTTTTTTTTTTCTCTCTCTCTCTCTCTCTCGTAGAAAATAAATGTGATACATTAAACAGGACATGAATTAAAAAATTTATTTATGTAAATCTTACCACGAGCTTGACATTGTAAAATTTTTATCCTTCCCTCGGGAACTATGTTTCCAGAAAAAGAAGGCTGCGTTATAAATCTAGGAGCTTGAAGTTGATCTGAAAAAAAAAAAAAAAATTCGATTAATTATTTCGAGAGAGAAAATTTTTGTTTTTTGTGAGAAAGAAAGAAAATAAACTATGGAATTATTATTATTATTATTATTATTAATTATCATTATCATTACGCGCGTCGTAATTTAATTAATTTCATTATTAGCTGTCGTAGTTTTTTAATGTGAGAACATTTCCTTAGTACAAATATTCCCATGGCTTTTATAAATGTTAAGCATTTTTTTAAATTGTATAATTATTGGTTTAACAATCGTTTATAATTGAGAGAAACCCCTAAAACCCCCCCCCCACCGCAATTAAAAATTTTCAATAATTTTTTCCCCCTTTTAATTTTAAATACTACGATAATCCTAATTGGATTTAGAAACGGGGGGGAGAAGGAAATTTATGTAATCTTTGGCGAATTTTCCGAAAATTTTCCCAAAAGTAATTACTGCGTCGGAAAAACGCAACTTATATTTTTTTTTCTCGATATTCTCAAAAGCAATTAACAATTAAATAGGTGACGATAAACAAAATTTTTTTTTTTTTTAACATGCGTTATCACTCATATCACTATTTAATAATAATAATAATAATAATAATAATAATAATAATAATAATAATAATAATAATAATAATAATAATCTCATAACTTGATAAACAATTGGCATGTCCTAATAATTTCAAACTATGATGTAAAAACCGATTATCGACATCGTAATTATTAATTTACGTGTTTTTTCTTTTTTTTTTTTTTTTCTCGCGAGTTAACGACTAATAATAAAGTTTCGAAATTCGCAAGATTTCCCCCCTTCCCCCTCCCCCCGCTTTTTACAGATTAAAAAAAGAAAAAAAAAACCTATTTCTCATTATTTTTTTTTATCGAGTTTAATTATTAAAGTAAGAAAAGGTGAGAATGCAATTTTTTTTTTTTAATTAAGAGAGAGAGAGAGAGAGAGAGAGAGAGAGAGAGTGAAAAAAAAACAGTTTAAAAATAAAATAATAATAATGATTAAAAAAAAAACAGAAAAACATTCGAAAATAACGGTAAAAAAAAAAGCACGCGAGACACATGACAAAAATTTAGAGAGATTCCATCTCGTAAAATATATATATATATATATATATATATATATATATATATATATATAAACAATTGACAAAAATAAATCAAAAATTTTAAAATACCCGGTTTGGAAAAAAAAATAAGGTACATATATACCTATCATTTAACAAAAACCTGATTATGGTCACTCCACGAATGAATAAATAAAACTCGTTTTTTTTAAATGTTTCACGCTTAAAAAAAAAAAAAAAAAAAAAAATGGAGTCATTATTAAAAATCAAACAATAACCGTCGAAATTTAATAGTTTCCTTGCTAATTAACTTAACGTTACGCGCACACGCACACACACACACACACACACAACCATCCAACATTTATTAGAAAACATTAAGGAAATGTTCATCTCGACTAATTTAAGAAGAAGAAGGAAAAAAAAAAAAAACTAGCAGAAAACATTCATTACGGTTGTAGTACCCGTCAAAAATTACTCGCAATAAACAACAACAACAAGACAAATTTTCGAAGCGTTACATAGAGGCAGAAATATAATAATAATAAAAACTATAATGAAAATGTCGCTTATTATTATTATTATTATCGCAGTTAACGGAATCGATTCACGCAATGTTTGTTTGTGTTTATGACTTGTTGTTCGTTCTTTGCCTCTTACGAAATTAAACAAAATTACGAAATAATAATGCCATCAAATTATTACCATAGTTAGTTATAAAAAAAAAAAAAAACAATCTCATTGAAAATTTTCTACAATCACTACGTTTACTACGACTTTGTTGAAAATACAACAATTTAAAAACCATTTTCAGGTACGCCAACCTTCACACACGTACACACACACGTTTGCATCGTGTTTCCGGTTAAAACATACCATTCACACTAAGAAACAAGCTCTTTTTCGTTCGATATTATTTAAATCGCGTTTAAAGCTATTTACAAGAAAGGAAAAAAGGTTTTCGAAATCGATTTTGACAGTTTTGTACGTCAAAAGGTGTTGTTCGCTCGCAGAATTAAACGAATGATAATGATAATGACCGCACAGACGCGACGACAATCCTTAATTCACCGTGGTGAAAAGACATTAACGAAGTTAATTAAGAAAGAAAGGAAAAAAAACATCCTGTAGAAAAAAAAAACAGCTGCCACAGAAGAAACCGTAATAATAATAATAATAATAAGAAACATAATAAAGCGAAAAAGAGGGCAAATTTATAGGGGAGTGTTGTGATCCCAACGAAATCTGGCCAACAACGAGGGCATCTGTTTTAAAATTTATATTATTTATTTATTATGGATATTTATTTATTTGTTTATTCCAAATCAAATCTATCCGCTTGAGAAGTTTTAATGAGAGTATTTGTTTATTATTTATAAGCGTGACATAATTAACGCGGACATTATTTGTTTACTCAACATTCTGGAACACGTTCTTTCCATTAAACTGGAATAGCGAACAAAGACCGTATTCATCCCTTAAGAAGGAGATGATTGATTTATTGGTCACTTCAAGTGCAACAGATGCATCGATTGTTTTGGTCTTCATATAAATAGTGGGCCTCGGCACCACGTCTTCGTCTTTCGACATCCGTCCGTCAGTCAGAGTCTGCCTGGTTGTGTCTATCGCATAGCGTTGGGGACAGTCAGTGCATCTTAGGTTGGATTCAAGAGCATCATATTCTATTTCCGTTTACTTTACATTTAGTGTTTTTACTGATAAAGTAGTGTAACTAGTAGTATATTTGGTTAATATAATACATCAGGTAGAAATTGTCTACTTATTATATTAAATATCCGAATCAACTGCGAGCATACTACAAATCAGAAACACCGATCTCCTCGAAGAACGAGGTCCATAACATAAATTGGCGCAGTCGGTAGGATCACTTCTGGACACCAAGGAACCATTTGAATAGAATATTATTCGTTCTGCGGTGGTGAGTTTCAACTCTTTATCGGAGTCGAGGAGAAGAATTCAAGTAAGTGGAAATTTTAAGAATTGCTCATTAACATATCCATTATGCCTAAACCTGATGCACCTCCACAAAGTACTTCCCAAACGTTATCTCTGGAAT